ATAGTACAGAGAGTTCCTGTATATCCTACACCCACTTTCCTCTATTATGAACAATACGTACATTGTTCCAAATGAACCAGTATTGATACATTATTTTTTTTTTTTTTTTTTTTTTTTAAATCATGGGGAAAGAATTCAAGAGCGAGCCAAAGTAAAGGAAAAGCAAGTTTATTTAGAGAGATAAGACATTCCACAGGCAGAATTTGGACCATCTTGGAAAGTGAGAGGAGTGGCCCCAAGGCATGGGAAAGTGAGAGTGGCCCGCGAGTATGGGGGGTCTTTGGTTTTCATGGGCTAAGTAATTTCATAGGCTAATGAGTGGGAGGAATAGTCTTGCTATTTTGGGGGAGGGTAGAGATTCCCCAGGGATTAGGCCACTGCCCACTTTTTGGCCTTTTATGGCCCTCCTGGGAACCTCCATGGCATAAGGGGGTTGTTTTTTAGTATGACAATGAAGGTATAATGAGCTAAAGGTCAATGACCAGACTATTCTCAAAGCCACTTTGGTTTCAGCTGGTTCCAGCTGGTCTTTATCACATCCCAACAGCTGAGCCCCTTCTTCATTTCTAGGCTTTGTGTCCTGTCCCTTCTCCTCCTGTCTCATTTCCCCCTCAGAGATTTTACTTCCATATTCTTATGGGAAGTAGAAGGGCCATGGTCCATCTTCTATAGCTGCTTCAGGGCTGGGCAGGGGCATCAACCCTGCCTGCCTGTCAGTGAGTAAAAATCTCTGGATGCCTGGTCTAGGGGTCCCAGAGAGGCAGAACAGCTTGTTTTGAGTCAGAGAGCAGTATGGGCAGTAATCCTCACAGAGCCATCATTTTGACGTGGAACTGTCAAAGACCTGGAAGACAGGAACTTTACCAAGAGGTTAAAGAGGCAGGGTCCAAAGAGAAGGAGTAGGAATATGACCATTACTGAGCCCAGGAGGGGCAGGAACGAAGTAAGGCTAGGGAGGCCACTCTTAATGGTGGACCAGATGGCCATTAGAGTCTCACCCCTGATTATAGTGGTGTAACCATGATGCTTATTTATAAATCTTTTTGATGTCCATCTCAATCTGGACCGAATTATTAACATAGGTACAGCAGATTTTGTTTATGACTGCATAAACACCACCCTGCTCCACCAGCAAGTAATCCAAGGCCAATCGTCCATGACCACATTGGCTGGTGAATTTAAAGAAGCTGAAAGCCTATTTAGGGCATTTCCAGTGGTCAGGGCTAGGCTCTCAAAAGTGTTGGTTAGATTTTCTAGGTTACCTCATGGTAGGCAAAGCCTCCCCATGGAGCTGCTAATCACCCTGTCAATCCTATTCCTGCCAATATTAACATGATGGCCCACCTGGGATGGTATTGAGTATTATTATGTATTGTGATTGTAAATGGAAACAAACGTCCTAATATACATTCTCTCTCATGTAACACATTATCAATATAAAGATAAGCATTTAACATAGGGGCCAATTTTTCCCTGAGGTGCCCTTGTCTTTGGGCCCTCATTTTGGGGAATGCCACATATGCAGACATATCCTGAAGGTACGAGAGATCTGGGAAGAGAAGAATTTAACAAGGAAGCAGCTGTCCAGATCTATGGAAGGGACAAGTTATGATCACAATACGGGTACAAGGGGCCATTAGTATATTCAAAATAGTTAAGTCCAGGAGTATTCCATGCCCTTGGCTTAGATGAGATGGTGTAGTAAGAGGCTTTTACCCATCGCTTCCATAGAGTCCAACAATTTCTAGCCCAACTTTTAGTCCATTCCATCCCTATCCTCTAAGGCATCTTGGGTCTGGTCTTCATTATAAATGCACAGAGTGGAGGCATTCCCGGGAATGCAGTTTGGGTCCAGGTTCCAAAACACCATGGTGATATTATCATCTGGTGGCCAAGGATTTCTCCAAAGAGGCTCATCGTACCCAAGAGAACCAGAGGTGTAGTGGCATCGGAAGCATGACTGGTTTTCTGTCCTCTTGAGCAGGTATCTGAGGTCTTCCACTGGCTCGCAGGAGTACGTCCCCTCTGGTTCCCTTTGGGACTGCAGATGCCTGAGAAGATAACAGCAGTGCTGGGGTTTCTCTCCATGCTCATGCCATCAGCAGGTCGAGTCTTGGTGTATGACTAGAACATCTGGGACTCCCCTTCCGGTGTTTGGTTTCAGAGCTGGTCAGCTCATCCAGAGGCATGTTTCCGTTCCACCAAGGAAAAGTGTAAGCTGACAGCCAGTACCGAGCAGGGGAGAAACAGGGAGGATCCCTGAAACCAATGGTTTTGGCAGCTGCTAGGAACGTGCCTCAAAAAAAAAAAATCCCTCCCTCGGCGTCAGCTCACCACAAGCAGCTTGCTCCTTGCAGCCATCTTGGCGTGTAGTCTGTATTGATACATTATTGTTAACTAAAGTCCACACAGCATTCAGATTTCCTCAGTTATTCCCTAAATTTCTTTTTCTGTCCCATCCAGTATACCACATTACATTTAGTCATCATGTTTTCTTTTTTTTTTTTTTTAACATCTTTATTGCGGTATAATTGCTTTACAATGGTGTGTTAGTTTCTGCTTTATAACAAAGTGAATCAGTTATACATATACATATGTTCCCATATCTCTTCCCTCTTCGTCTCCCTCCCTCCCACCCTTGCTATCCCACCCCTCGGTGCTCAGTCACAAAGCACAGAGCCAGTATCCCTGTGCCATGCGGCTGCTTCCCACCGGCTATCTACCTTACATTTGTTAGTATATATATGTCCATGTCTCTCTCTCGCCCTATCACAGCTAACCCTTCCCCCTCCCCATATCCGCAAGTCCGTTCTCCAGTAGTCTGTGTCTTTATTCCTGTTTTACCCCTAGGTTCTTCAAAACATTTTTTTTTCTTAAATCCCATATATATGTGTTAGCATACGGTATTTGTCCTTCTCTTTCTGACTTACTTCACTCTGTATGACAGACTCTATGTCCATCCACCTCATTACAAATAGCTCAATTTCGTTTCTTTTTATGGCTGAGTAACATTCCATTGTATATATGTGCCACATCTTCTAGGACCTGACTTTATACCAAGGTGTTTATTTTTGTGGAACAAGCTGCCCCACCCAGGTTCCACCTTCTTCCGGCCTAACCACCTCTTCTCTGACCTAACCTGAAGGCACAGTGATGGACACTTCCTGACAACTTGAAGTGCCAAAAAAAGAGGGAGTCTTCTTGGTTGAAACACAGACATCCAGAGACTTGACTTTGGCTAGTAAAAACAGAAACTTCTGGGTCTTACTGCCCTCATTCCCCCTCAGGAATGCAGAGACATTCCCATCTGCTATTCACTAAATGTGTCCTCCTAAAACTCATGTATTGAAATTCTAATCCCTGATGTGATGGTGTGTGTGTGTGTGTGTGTGTGCGTGTGTGTGTGTGCGTGCGTGTGTGTGTGTGTGTTGGCGGGGTGGTGGTGGTGGGGATGATTAGGTTTAGATGAGGTCATGAGGATGGAGCCCCCATGATGGGATTAGTGCCCTTATGGGAAGAGGAAGGCACTCCCCCTTTCTCCAGCATGTGAGGACACAGTGAGAAGACAGCTGTCTACAAACCAGGAAGAGAATTCTCACTAGGAAGCCAACCATATGGGCACCCTGACCATGGACTTCCCAGCCTCCAGAATTGTGAGAAATCAATGTTTGTGGTTTAAGCCATTCAGTCTATGGCATTTTCTACAGCAGCACCAGGTAAGACACCATCTATTCATTCCTTCATTCAGTGAATATTTATTTAGTCCTTACTATGTTTAGTAGTAAGGACTTAGTCCTTACTAAGTGCTTTTTGAAGTCTTGAAGACACAGTGGTGAACAAACTTTCAAGGTCCCTGCTCTCAAGAAGCTTACATTCTAGTTTTGGGGGAAGCAGCTGATAAACTTGTAAATAACGTAATTTCAGCTAGTAATAAATGCCATGAAGTAAATAAAACAGAATACTATAACAGAGTAACTGCAAAAAAATGGGAGATTGTGATTTAGACAGATTAGACAGGAAAGACTTCCCCTAGGAGGAAGGGTTGCTGGGTAAAATACAGGATGCCCAATCAAATTTGAATTTCACATAAACAATGAATTTTTTTTAGTATAAATATGTCCCAAATATTACATGGGACAGATAATATTTATACTAAAACTTATTCCATTGTTTATCTGAAATTCAAATTTAATTGGGCATCCTGGCTTTTTTGTTTGTTTGTTTGGCCACACAGCACAGCATGTGGGATCTTAGTTCCCCGACCAGGGATCGAACTCCGGGACCCTGAAATGGAAGCACGGATTCTTAACCACTGGACCACCAGGGAAGTCCCATGGGCATCCTGTATTTTTCATCTGCTAAATTTTGCAGGCCTACCTGTAGGTGACGTTTGAGCTGAGAACTGAATGACCAGAAGGAGCTAGCTATGCAAGGTTTAGGGAAATGATGATTCAGGCAGAAGGAATACCCAGTGTAAATGTCAGAATAACCAGAGAGTGGAAGGTACAAATGAGGTCAAATAAATAGGCAGAGACCAGATCATGCAAAATTCTTTAGGGATAGCAAGGAGTTTCAGTTTCTTCCCTCTCTGCCTCTCTCTCTCCCTCTCTCTCTCTCTCTCTCTCTCTCTCTCTCTCTCTCTCTCTCCCTCCTTTAACGCTGAGAGTGATGATATGCTGTTGGAGTTTTCAGAAGGGTGACAAGATCTCATTGGTATTTGGCTGCTGTGTAGTCGGCCACTTTTGGAAGGGCTTAGAGGACAAATTCAGAAGATACTTAAACTTAACCTTCTGTCATTGGCCTGGGAAGAGGCATCTACATTTGAGGGTGGACCCAACTAGGAGTTCTAGGCTGGGCGTCCAGGGTAACTGGGCGGTTGCTACGGAGGGCAGCTTGGTGGTTGCTAGGGAGAGAAAGGGGCGGTGCTCGACGCAGGGCGACGTCTAAGAGGCCGGGGGCGGAGCCTGGAGTGCGGCGGCGCGCGCCTCGCGTTCGCAGGAAGTCGCTCAGGGTAAGGAAGGGATGCGAGCGGAAGTGACGTAGGCCCGCGCACGCGGTCCAGCGTGATTCGGGCGGGTTGTTTCATCCCGGCCTGGGAAATTACGAGATCTTTTACCCCACGTAGGCCGGACCCAACGCTCCGGTCCCCGTCCCGTAGGCAAGATGGTGAAGCCCAAGTACAAAGGACGGAGCACCATCAACCCCTCTAAAGCCAGCACAAATCCTGGTACGGGCGGCGGGGCTCGCGGAGGCTGGGGCTTGGAGGAAGCTTGGAGGGAGGGACACCGGGTGGCCTTGCTTGGAGTGACCTCAAGCAGAGTGGCCTTTGGGGATGAGAAGGGAGAAGATGATTAATTGTTTATAGTCCCTGAGGGGGGCTCAGTCTTGCACGCCTGTCAAGGCTAGATGCCAGGCACCAGCTCTAAAGCCGGGAAAGTGAACACTCAGGCCTGGCAGCCTTGGGGCATCTCCAACTGTGAGGTGCAGAGACTGGGAAGCTCTGAGTTGGAGGGGACACTTAAATTTGACCTCTTCTTGGGTCCCTGTGTGTGTCAGGTGTTGAAGCCCCTCCCCCAATATAGTTCAGTCTTGTATGAGTCCAGCTCTCCAGCTCAAGGAATTACTAGAAGTACTATAAATTAGATAAAGTCAGACTAAAAGTGATGTAGCCTGACCCAGCTGGCCCTTTACACTTGGCCACACTTGCCTACCACCTTAGCTTTGACCATTTAAATGAGAAAGGGCTAGTAGATTTGGAATCATCCCATGATGATTTGGATTTCAAATCTTGGAATCATCGCATCCGGTAAAGTGCATAGAAAATGCTACAGGTAAGTATGATTGTTTCAGTAAAGATGTTTTTGAAGATGTGTATGAGTTTTGTTGAGGTTCCACCACAGAATGAACAAGATAGCCTTTGGGGGAGTCCCTTCCATTTGGGTTTAGTTAATAAGACATATTAAAATATGGCCTAAAGTTTTTGATTTTAATTCATGTTGGATGTTTTACCTGGACTGCTGATAAATTATTCAGTTTGTGTAGACTGGGATCTGACAGCGTTAGACCTGAAGAGGCCCTTAGAGATCATAATGTTATAGGTGAAGAGACTGAACCAAAATAGGGGAAGTGTCTTGTCACAGCTGGCACACGTAGTGAGCAGTAGAGCCGCCAGTCCTGTGATTTCTGCCTGTTTTCTACAGCATGACTTCAAGACAGATGACTTAAAGGCATCCTCAAATGAGAAGCTAAGCCGGTATTACTATGCTAATTTGTCCTTCTCTTTCTCTCTGAGATGTAAGGCAAGAATTACTACCTATTTTGCTGTTGATAAAACTAAGGTCAAACATTAGGAAATTAAGAAACTGGTACATTAGGAACACTTATGTGTCAGAATCGTAGTCTTCGTGATGCTTTGCCTGTAGCAGGCACTCAGTATTTGTTAAACTGAGACCCAGAGGTAGGTGTCTTAGTGGTTAAGAGCACAGATGGTGATCTGATGCTTTTGTTCAAATTCTGGCTCTTGTACAAAAAATCTTTGTACAAGATGCTTGCCCACTGAGCCTCAGTGTCTTAACCTGCAGAATGGGGATAATGCATCCCTCTTGGTAGGATTGTTGTATGGATTACGTGAGATGATGCCTATAATGTGGATAGCACAGTGCCATAATTAGTGCTCAGAAATATTACCTACTATCATTTTCAAACACAGTCCTAAGGAGGGTTCCAGATTAGGTCAACTTTGTCATACCATGTAGCTTCCAGGAATGATTTTGTTGGAGCAACATGTGGAGAAAGTGGAGATTTTGCACTGAGGTGGCAGCTTGCCTGCTTTGAGTAAACTAGCTGGTGTGTTTGAAGCAATGGCTATACTTAGACTTGTTGGCTATCAAATAGTGTGCATTCCACTTCTGTGTTTCCTAGATCGAGTTGAGGGAGCAGGAGGCCAAAACATGAGGGACCGGGCCACAATCCGACGCCTGAATATGTACAGGCAGAAGGAGCGCAGGTGAGCGTGGGCGCTGGTGTCCTCTCCCTTTCCCTTCCTCCCCTTGACTTATAGCTGACACCTGTTAAGCCTTTGATATTCCCACCCCCACTTTCCCCAGATAGGAGTAGTGTATTTTCAAATACCGTTTTATATGATAAACTGAATTTTGGGTTAAAGACATGCGTAGTAGGGGGTGAAATAGTGATTGTGTCACTGTACTGTACAACAGCTTTGTTCCTCACAGCCTCGGCCTACGCAAATGGCATGTTAAATCTCAAGGTACATATCTGTCAGATAGAAATCTGCTTTTCTTTAACAAAGCATGTAGGATGGTGTCATGAAAGCGGCCAGAAAACTTGTTTTTTCTAATGACAAACTTTAGATCACAACATTGTGGCACTTGGAAACTCATCACAACTCAGATCTGCTGAGGCAGCCTCTACCACAGGGGCTTGCTGAGTGTGGCATTTTGTGACCTGGTCTTATTTTGTCTTATTCAATTTGTTTGGTAATTGGATTCTTCATCTGTTCTAAAAGATGTGTCTAAAACACAAATGTCAATGAACTTAATCTGCCTTAGTCACCTACTCTGCAGTTTGTTTTAGAATTTCGAGTTCCAGCATAAATCACCCTCTACTTAAAATTCATTTAAACCAGCCTTCAAAAAATTATCCAAAAAAGACTCAAGTATGCAGTTTTCTTTTTTAAAGCAAACAAACAGTAAACAGATTTTTAAACATGGTCATTAGTCGTTATTCTTCGAGCAGAAATCATTACGTGCTCTGTTGCAAGAGGTTAAGTGGCTTTGGGGCAATCTGTTTTGAATGTAGAAGTACTTTTTGTTTACCAAAATCTGTATTTAATGATCACTTAAAACTGGAAGGAGAAAAAAATCAAAGAGGTCCTTTTGATGGAAAGCGTATTCTGTAAACCCAGCTTTGCTGTAGCCTTTCTTCTGTTGTCAACCCAAATCTGTTATTTCCTCAATTCAGGAACAGCCGTGGTAAAGTGATTAAGCCTCTGCAGTATCAGTCAACGGTGGCTTCTGGCACAGTGGCGAGAGTGGAGCCGAACATTAAGTGGTTTGGTGAGTGTGGTCCTTTGCTACCTTTACCCTAGAAAATGTGCGCTGTATGGAAAAGGGTAGAATGTTCAGGTATCTAAAAGGCAGGTATCTGGGGGCTTCCCTGGTGACACAGTGGCTAGGAATCCGCCTGCAAATGCAGGGGGACACGGGTTCGATTCCTGGTCCGGGAAGATCCCCCATGCCACGGAGCAACTAAGCTCGTGCGCCACAACTACTGAAGCCCATGCGCCTTAGAGCCTGTGCTCCGCAACAAGAGAAGCCACCACAATGAGAAGCTGGACACACCATAGTGAAGAGTAGCCCCCGCTTACCGCGACTAGAGAAAGCCCGCGCACAGCAACAAAGACCCAATGCAGCCAAAAATAAATAAATAAATAAAAATAAGAGGCAGGTATCTGGGGTGAGGGGAACTGCCAAGGACAGTATGAGAAAGGGATGAGATAAGAAGTCCCCACCGTGGGAAAAGTGCAGAGAAAAGTCGTGGCAGTGGCTTCCATAAATAACTTCTTTTTGAAAAGAGCCCATCATTGTTCACTGTGAGTGAACCTCTTAGACAGATGAGATCATCCTTAATGACTAGCATTCATTAGAACGCTCCTCTCCTAATTTCCAGTCACCTGGACAGGTGACTTTGAGAGGTGCCTTGCAGGCGTGTTTGTGCCTTTAGCCTGAAGTTCCTCTGAAACACTTTTTCTTAGTGGGGTTGTATTTGGACTGAGTGACAGTGAAAGGACCTCTTGTTGGTCCTTCTCAGGAATGAATAGTGTATCTCCAGAGGCCTTGGGGAAGCAGGATTTCTTCCTTTGGAAACTCCACCTTCATCTCTGTTGGGGCTTTCAGCCTTTCCCTCAGCCACTGCCAGCTGTGTGGGCACATCAGATGGTCAGACCGCATTTTTTGCCTGCTGTTTGATCTCTCTTCTGGGGGGCAGATGGCAACTACCTTTGCACATCTCGTACGTCTCTTGGTGGGATTGGTACCCCCTAGGAAACTACAGCACAGAAAAGTGTCTTGAAGGAGAGAACTTCAAGAGGCCTTTAGCATGGTGGCAAGGTCCGGTGACACTAGATCCAGACCTCCTGGGTTTGAGGCCTAGTTCTGCCATATCTGGGGCCATGGTCAGGTTCTTAAGTTTGCTCGTCAATTTCTCCATCTGTAAAATGAAGATAAAAACAGCACCTATTGCGTAGGACTGTTGTGGTAATTAAATGAATAAATACTCTATGTAAAGTGCCTAGAATAGAGTCCAGCAAGTAGTACAATAGAAGCTTTAACCGCTGTCATTGTCACCATCCCCGCCAGCGTGGTCGTCTTCACCTTGGGTTTGGCATTTGTGCTGCAATGCGGTGTTTAGTGAATACGATCTCTCACTTCCAAGGTGTTCTCCAAGCAGTGTTATATAGTTTCGTTTTGTTCCCTTGCAGCGCTTTGTTGATTAATTTAATAGTGCCTTCAAACCCTAATAACCCTAAAAACCAGAGCTATGGCTCTTAGGTGCTGTGCTTCGGGATTCTCTTGAGTATGCTAACTGATCAGCTGTGATTGGCTCCACATTTCTTTGCCAGATCTAGCAGGAAGTAGGACATTTGTCAAATCTCAGTTCCATTCAGTGATGTTTATTTTTCAGTTTCATCCAGTCAGGAAATTGGACTTGGAAAACTATTGAAACCCTTTGTGTGTCTGGGTTGGTGGATTAGTTATTAGTGTATGAGTGCAGGAGAGGCAGTTTTTTTGTTTTTTGTTTTCTGTTTTTTTCTTTTAAGTTTGAAAATGGCTACGTGGGATGGATGTGTCAGGTGTTTGGGTGAGTGAGGGCAATTTAAAATCTTACCTTTATAGCACAGGGAGATCAGCTCGGTGCTTTGTGACCACCTAGAGGGGTGGGATAGGGAGGGTGGGAGGGAGGGAGACGCAAGGGGGAAGAGATATGGGAACATGTATATGTATAACTGATTCACTTTGTTATGAAGCAGAAACTAACACACCATTTTAAAGCAATTATACTCCAATAAAGATGTTAAAAAAATAAAAATAAAAAAAAACAAAATCTTACCTTTCACTGTGTCCCTGGGAAGATGGAGGCGGAAGTTGTAAGGAGCTATTTATTAAACAGCAACATTCTTTTGTAAAACAGGAAATACACGTGTGATTAAGCAGTCATCGCTACAAAAATTTCAAGAGGAAATGGACACGGTCTTGAAGGATCCATACAAAGTTGTCATGAAGCAAAGCAAGTTACCCATGTCTCTTCTCCATGATCGAATCCGGCCTCATGTAAGATGGAGGATGTCCCCGGCCAGCCATGCAGATCCCTCTCTACCATACTTTGCTCTTGTTTTTCCATAGAGAATAGTGCCTGAAGCAGTACTGATAAGCTTTGAGACTTCTCCTTTCACCTTTGTTAGGGGTCTCACCTTTAGCATGAAACGAATTCTGTCAGAGAAGTTCAGTGGCATAGTAGTGGACCAAAGCACAGGCTTGGGAGTCAGGCCTGAATTTTAATCTTTGCTGTGTCCCTTCCTGCAGTCTTAGTTAGGGTTCTCTGTGAGCTTTCACTTCCCTGACTGGTAAGTCACGGTGACCCCCTCCTCGGGTGACTAGATGCAGACGAAACATCCAGTAAGGCTCTTGGCCCATGGCAAGCACTTAGGCCACCACTTACTTAGACCTAAATAGATCATGGCTATTACCAATACTATTTTAAAATGTTTTTGGTAAGCAAACTTGTTTAAGTGGTAGTACCATCAAACTTTGGGGAAACATAGAATTAGGATTGGGTTGGTAGGAGGGAGACCTTTGGTGTTGAGCACTTTCAGCTTCTTGAGAGTTCCTTAGAGAGTCTTTCCAGCTGAAGGAAAGGGTGCCAGTCAGATTGGTTGTTAATCATTGAAGTTAGAAGTGCAGTAAAGACTGAATCTGGCTTGATTGGAATTAGTTTCACACGGAACCAAAGAAATGGCCTAATGCCTGCCTACACATTTTTACTTGCTTTGAATAGTAATTCCCAAAAATGTCCATAAGTACAGCACAGAGCTTCAGTTCCAGCATGAGGAGGGGAAGAAAACACTGACATGCATACATGGATTAAACATGGATTAAACAGTTCAAAGAAAAGCGTTTACTTGCAGAACAAAGTAAAACCCAAAGCCTGGTTATTGCCTCAGGTTTTGTCAATTATGCTTTGTTTTATGACAGACTAGAAGAATGGCACCTATTAGTGGAGTGACTGTTTTCTTTCAGGGAAACACGTGAGTGTAATTCATAAAGACAGACAAGTTGCTCATTTTCTTTGTTCTCTCTGTCCTCCCTAAAGCCATCTTTTAACAAACTATTGAATCCTGTTTATGAGAAGAACAGAGAAGTTCTATTATGGATTTATTGCTTTGTTGCCCATGGCAGTTGTTCAGTGCTTCTAAAATTCAGTGCTTAAATGTCTGATACATAGAATGAAGGGCCCACAGCTGCAGCAGTTCGTATTTTGGTGCAGACAGGTACTCAGAGTAACTGATGAGTTTTCTGCTCTGGCCTTGCCAAACCTTACCTGTTTTATTTTTAGTGCAATATCTACTACTCGTTATGAAATCTGATTCTGAGATTTGCTGCACAGTGGAGTCAAATCAGATATGTTTTGTTTTGTTTTTTTTTTTTTTTTTTTGCAGTACCCGTGCCTCTCACTGTTGTGGCCTCTCCCGTTGCGGAGCACAGGCTCCGGACGCGCAGGCTCAGCGGCCATGGCTCACGGGCCCAGCCGCTCTGCGGCATGTGGGATCTTCCCGGACCGGGGCACGAACCCGCGTCCCCTGCATCGCAGGCGGACTCTCAACCACTGCGCCACCAGGGAAACCCCAGATATGCTTTTAACTTTTGCACATTTACCTGTATGTGCATTACAGTTACTGTGTTTCATGTAGCAGAACTACAGTGGAAATACTGTAACTTACATTGTCTCTGTATTTTAGTGTATAGACATGTTACCACCTTGTACTTACTAAGGTACAGGTTTATAGACACAGATCCAGGTATATTGTATGTTATAGGCTGAGAGATTTTCTAGGATAATTTTGATCATAATTTTCCCAGTGACATTAGAACCTAGTTCTCATGTAAAACGTGACTGTTCTGTTCGGGGATGTTCCCTTGTTGGAGCATAGTGAGTAAAACTAAACTAAGATGGGTTAGAGGCTCTCATAATAGCTTAAGGATCTTTAGGAGTTGGAGAGGTGTCTGTTAAGTTCAGAAGCCACTGGGTTGTTCTCTCTTCCGTGTTCATAGCTGGTGCTTACAGAGGAGCCTCTACTGGGGGGCAGAGGGTGTTTGGTTTTTTTTGAGGATATTCTCTGCCAGCTGTTAACATACTGTTACGTGATATATCCTAACTCAGAGTTTGACTTTCATCCTCTTTCAAAAATTCCTCTGCCTGTAAGTCCTTTACAGGCACATCAAGTTCTAGTTAGGATCAGGTTCCTTTTATCACATCTAAACTATTATTTTGGGCTTTTGCTAGATGTTTTTCATCTGAAGACTTTGCATGTGCATTTAATAAAAACGTTACCTAAATTAGGAAAAATGTTACCTGAAACTAAAATGCATCTTACAAAACAAGCAATTCCTTTTAGCCATGAAAGAAATTAACTTCCAAGAAAAAGTTGGCATTTACAGTTGTTTTTTTTTTTATAAATTTATTTATTTTATTGTTATTATTTTTTTGGTTGCATTGGGTCTTCGTTGCTGTGCACGGGCTTTTCTCTGGTTGAGGTGAGCGGGGGCTACTCTTCGTTGTGGTGAGCAGGCTTCTCATTGTGGTGGCTTCTCTTGTTGCGGAGCACGGGCTCTAGGCGTGCGGGCTTCACTAGTTGTGGCTCGAGGGCTCTAGAGTGCAGGCTCAGTAGTTGTGGTGCACAGGCTTAGTTGCTCCGCAGCCTGTGGGATCTTCCCAGACCAGGGCTTGAACCCGCGTCCCCTGCATTGGCAGGCGGATTCTTAACCACTGCGCCACAAGGGAAGCCCTACAGTTGGTTTAAAAAAACCCCCACAAATTTGAGCATGATCATCCTTGACAAAAATCTGTGAATTTGGCGAATTTTGTGCACTTGTTTGAAAGCTTAAAAAAAAAAAAAAGGTCAGAAAAAAGAAGTTAATTTTCAGCGTTGTAGCAGTAATTACATTTGACTAAAGTTTATGATAAATGAAATAAAGCAGAGTTTTTGGCAAGTCTTACACACAGCTATTCATATTTGCTTTGACTATTTGTATTTTGTATTTCTCCAGGAAAGCTTACAGAGCTTTCAGAAGAGGGGAACAAATGTGTTTGCTATTTAAATAAGGATTTCTGATTTGAAGTCAGGCTGCATCCGTGTTGTAGATTTTGGTATGGGTTGAGCTTTGCAAAAATGAAAGCAGAAAGCCTTTCCCAGATAGGTTTTGAACTTTTTGCTTTTTCTCAGTGCTTTGCTTAGTGTTACCTGTAATTCTCCTTTCTCTTTAGAACTCAAAGGTGCACATCCTTGATACTGAAAGCTTTGAAACTACATTTGGCCCTAAAGCACAGAGGAAGCGACCAAATTTATTTGCAAGTGATATGCAGTCACTTATAGAAAATGCAGAAATGTCCACTGAGAGCTATGACCAGGGGAAGGATCGTGACTTGGTAGCTGAAGACACTGGTGTGAGGTACAGTTTTAAAGTTCATGCATATCTCCTCATTTCCTCTTCTGCAGTGGACATCTTCTTTACAGTTATTTACCTGCAAGAAGCTCGGTGATTTATCTCATAGGTGGAGATCTTCCCTTAGACTAGAAAAATTAGTGAAACTAGTTGGGGCCAGACTAAAGATAATTTAAGGTGGCTTGTTTACTATTGGTCTCTTAATTCCCCCCCAAATAAAAATAAATAATACTTTCTTCATAATAATAACAGTATATTCTATCATAGACAAATGTTTAAAATATAGTTAAATTGGAAATACAACAAAAAGAAAATAAGCACTCATAATTCCACTACTTATGTTAAGCATTGTTAATATTTTGGTGAATATCAGGGTTTCCTCTGGACCACTGGGGGTGAGGGGAGTTTCACTGATGGCCTTTGAGGTTTCTGTGACCCTCTGAAGATAATATGGAAAATTTATGTACATGCATAAAAGAAGTGGAGTTTTGTTGTTTATAGAGAAGAAGGATCCATAGCTTTCATCATACTTTCATGGGGGCTCATACCCAAAAGAAGGTCAAGGATCAGTTAAGGATAAATATATGTATATATATACATTAGTCTGAATGTTTTTATTTATAAATATAATACTTTAAGACTGTATTTTAACTTGCTTTTATTTTAATATACTTTTCTAAATTATTAAGAATATATTTCCAGGGGCTTCCCTGGTGGTACAGTGGTTGAGAGTCCGCCTGCCGATGCAGGGGACACGGGTTCGTGCCCCGGTCCGGGAAGATCCCACATGCCGTGGAGCGGCTGGGCCCGTGAGCCATGGCCGCTGAGCCTGCGCGTCCGGAGCCTGTGCTCTGCAACGGGAGGGGCCACAACAGTGAGAGGCCCGCGTACCGCAAACAAACAAACAAAAAGCAAAACAAAACAAAAAGAATATATTTCCATGTCAGTTCTTGGCCAACAGCGATATAATGTTTTATGTCAGAGTAGGTTTTTGTTATGGCCAGTCCCATGGTTAGACATTTATGCTGTTCAAAGTTTTCCCCTATGGTAAACAACTCTAAGGTAAAACATCAGTGTGACTAATTCTTTCTCATTCTTAATTGTTCCCCAAGGATAAATTCTTAGGGGAAATGACGTCGAAGAATATGCAGTTTTTTGATAGGCGGCTGCCTTATTACCCTCCAGAAAGGGTTTACCAGTTCAGTTCTCCTGGTTCTCCCTCACGTGTTCCTGAGGTGCCCTAGCGGAGAGGTGCTGTCCCCTGCCTGCAGTGCCACTGCCTTGGTGCTGTCCTCAGTCCATCGCTAGCCCTGGGCCTCCTAGAGGTAAAGTCAAGGCTCTCGAGCCCAAGCAAAAAGAGGCAGCGAGTTCATTTATTCTTAAAACTATTTGGACTTGTATGCTTCTGCTGATTTGAATTTTTTCCACCTCCAAAGGGTACAGTCGGCAGTGGGGGAGAAACAAAACTATTCTTCTTCCAGGGACATTGGGTAAATGTCTCTGAGGCTAGTAAATAAGCAGATTCTCAACCTTATCAAGAAAGTTTCACTCTACGTGGGAGCTGTGGAGTGTGGATTATGGTTCAGATTCCTTTTCATAATTCTCTGTGACAGACTGCCTAATTATAGTTGCTTTTTTTTTAAATTAAATTTATTGTGGTAAAATATACATAACAAAATTTACCATTTTAATCTTTTAAAAAAATTATTTATTTATTTTTGGCTGTGTTGGGTCTTCGTTGCTGCGCGCAGGCTTTCTGTAGTTGCGGCAAGCGGGAGCTACTCTTCATTGCGGTGCGCAGGCTTCTCATTGCAGTGGCTTCTCTTGTTGCAGAGCACGGGCTCTAGGCGTATGGGCTTCAGTAGTTGTGGCACACGGGCTCAGTAGTTGTGGCTTGCAGGCTGTAGAGCGCAGGCTCAGTCATTGTGGCTCACAGGTTTAGTTGGTCTGCGGCTTCTTCCTGCACCAGGACTCGAACCCATGTCCCCTGCATTGGCAGGTGGATTGTTAACCACTGCGCCACCAGGGAAGTCCCATTTTAATCATTTTTAAGCATCCAATTTAGTGGCATTAAGTACATTCACATGGCTATGCAACCATTACCACTATCCACCTCTAGAATTTTTTCACATCATCCCAAACTGAAACTCTGTACCCATCCAGCACTAATTCACCATTCCCCCCTCTCCTCAGCCCCTGGCAGCCACCATTCTGTTCTCTGTCTCTTATGAGTTTGACTTCTCTCTTGAATAGTGCTTCACGTAAGTGCACTTGTACGGTATCTGTCCTTTTGTATCTGGCTTATTTCAGTAGCATAATGTCTTCAGGGTCATCCATGTTGTATCGTGTATCAGTACTTTGTTTGTATTGCTGAACAGTATTCCATTATGTATACATGACATTTATTTTTATTCATCTGTCAGTGGGCATTTGAATATAGTCATTTTTTAAATTAAGTCAGTTTTTGGTCCGTCTGCAACTAGTTGGTTTGTTTTGTTTTGTTTTGTTTTAATTTTTATCGGAGTATAGTTGCTTTACGATGTTGTGTTAGTTTCTGCTGTACAGCAAAGTGAAGCAGTTATACATATACATATATCTACTCTTTTAGATTTCCATCCCATTTAGGTCACCACAGAGCAGTGAGTAGAGTTCCCTGTGCTGTACAGTAGGTTCTCATTAGTTATCTTTTTTTTTTTTTTTTTTTTTTTTTTTTTTTTTTTTTTTTTTGGGGCCCCT